TATTTATTTATTTATTTATGCCAGGCTTAATAGAAAGAGCATAGACAGATTGGACCCAGGCAGGCAAGGTCACAAATTTAGGGTTGCTTTTTAGCTCAGGGAACTGGGACTAGTTACGTAACTTCTTTGTACCTCAAATTCTTCATCGGTAAAATCAGAATACACTTACCTGGAAGGGTTGTTATGGAATTAAAACATCTGGTATGTGGTGCCTCAGTCACTAGAACACTGATACATAGCAATCAAAGGCTCAACAAATACTTTCTGAAGGAGTGAAAGGACACTTTCCCTTCTTCCCTATATGGAACTCTCTGGAAGACTGGGAGAGTTTCCAGCCACCCCTAAGACAGAACATAGGACAGGCCACAGCACAATCTGGGGAGCACCCCAGGCTTCTGCTGGAAAATCCACTCCACATCCTCTGTTCCCCGGAATAGCCCACCTCTAGGACGCAGGGGAAATCTTTCCTAAGACTACCACCTGTTGGACACAGGCATTTCCTTCTACAAAATGTGTGACTGCTTGTTACATACAAAGGCAGCAACATCTCACATTAAAAAGCCACCTAAGCTTCCAGGGCCTGTTTCTAAGTGTGTTGCATGGAAATTAAAAGCACCCTCCTACTTGTGAAGATGATCCTAACTAATTGAAATGAACCTAAACTGTTGTTAGACAGCAATACAGGCAAACCCCCTTTCATAAAGAAATCATTTATTTTCTAGATCTGGGATCAAATTTTTCTGCTTCCCTTTACAGGATGAACTTTTGTATGATCAATTATTAACAGTGAAAATTATCTAAACATTATATTATTTATAGACATAAGGTTGTTTTTTTCAGAAATAAAATTCATTGTAAAAGAAATTTTTTTCTTAATGCTACTTTCAACTAAGAATTTTGCTCTTGACTTGCATTTTTTTATTTTGAAAAATCGTTTATTTTCACAGTATATTTTTATTAAGAAAATAATCTATGCTGATTATAGCAAATTTCAGACTACAGAAACATAGGAGAAAAAATATAAATCACCCATAGTTCCAGCCTCTAGTGTATTTTCTTTTCCAATTTTTATGTATATATAATCTTGCTTTTAAATTTATATTCATTGTACAATATCAGTGTGTACTACTATATGTAAAGTAGATGAACAACGAGGACCTACTGTAGAGCACAAGGAACTATATTCAATTTCTTATAATAAGCTATAATGGAAAAGAATCTGAAAATATATCTATTTGTACATATATGTATAACTGAATTGCTTTGCTGTACACCTGAAACTAACATTGTAGATCAACTACACTTCAAAAAAACAAAA